AAAAATTTAATTGACAGTCCATGTTGATAAATTTTTTTTAGATTAATATAAATAGGCCCTATTTTGTTAGGTTTTTCTTTACTTTTTAATTTTTTTCAAATTAAAAATAATATTTTAAGGTAAGTCATTTTCAATTATTCTGTAAGCACGTTATATTTATAAGTTATGGTAGATGTCTCGCACATTCGCAGCTGGTGATAATGCTTCTTCTCGTCGTCGTACTGTCAGTACCCCTGTCCCTCAGTATGAAAGCTTCAGTAACAATCATAACAATCGCACCATTCACCATTTTGACCAACCTGAAACCAATGAAACCGAAATTTTTGATTCCGATTCATCCCAAACCAACCCAGTAATTCCAGAAGAAACTGTACATCAAAGTGAAAACAACCAAGAGACGTTATACTACCAAAGAGAAAATATCGTTCCAATTCCAAGTGCCAGAGAGTTTTTCGCAACAATTGCTGGTACTGAGCAACAGGCTATCAAGTACGTTTTTTTGTAAAATATGATTTTTATTTATAATTAATTTTTCTGTAATAGTTTCCTTGTGAATATTGGTGCCTTTTACTCTCCCAGTCAGCGTATGGAATGCGATTGTGGACGCGTAATGACTTTTGGTTTTGAGGAGTCAAGAGGATACCGCTGGAGATGTAATGGACGGCAATTAAACGGTGTCCGAGTCTGTAATGGTTCTCGTATACCATTAGTCAAAGATACAATCTTTGCGTACAAAAATACAGCAATTCACGACATTTTCAGCATTCTGTACTTTTGGTTGGTGGGAACCAAAATGGGCCAAATGGAGACACTTTCTGGCTGTTCGGCTAAAACCGTTAGAGCTGTTGTGAAGTCTATTCAACGAATGTTACAACAAGATCTGGACGAGCAGTCCGATTGTTGTATTGGTAAGCTTAAATTTCTTTTTAAACAACTTGAGCACTAAATATATCTCGTTTATAGGCGGCTTGGATGCCCAAGGTAACCCCATAATTGTGGAAATTGACGAAAGCAAGTTCGGTAAGAGGAAACATAATCGCGGGCACCGTGTTGATGGCGTGTGGGTAGTGGGTGGAGTAGAAAAAACGGCTGAAAGAAAAATGTTTCTGACAACTGTTGAAAAGAGAAACAAACCAGTTCTTGAACGAGTGATCTCCCGGTTCGTTAAGCCTGGGTCCATTGTACGAACGGATTGTTGGGCTGCATACAATGGGCTCTCTCTACTTGATATCCAGATCGTTCATCAAACGGTTAACCATTCCGAGGGCTTCAATATTAATGGTATTCATACGAATACAATTGAAGGTAAATTTTATACAACAGGCAAATATACAATTTAAATTAAAATTATTCTTTTAAATAACTTAGGCTCTTGGAATGGTATCAAGCAAAAGCTACCCGCGAGAAAGAGAAACAAAAAGGATATGCCTTGGAATTTGGTCGAATTCATATGGCGTCGCAAGCATTACGGTGATCTTTGGGGTGGCCTCTTGAAATGTTTGAAAGATGTAAGCGTTGGAGGAGCGTCTGATAGTCCTGATTTAACAGAAGATCTTCTTCAGCCAGGTGACACTCTTGAGCCAGAAGCCCCACCATCCGAAACCGAAGAAGAAACCGAAGTAGAATCATCAGACAATAGTTTAGATAATGATTCAGATTATAACGAGTAAAAAAACTTAATAATGAACACAAATAAAAGTATATAATATAGAAATAAATACACATACACATATATAAACAAACATGAAGATAACGAATACACATGAATACAAATAAATAAACATGACAATAAGTAATTAAACATAAAAGATTGATTGAACAATTAAAATACCTAATAAATAAATAAAGACAATATTAAGTAAATAATTAAACATAGTACATAAAAGAATAAACATGATAATAAATAAATAAATATATAACTAAGTTAATACATAAATAAATTAATAGATTAATAGATTAATAAAAGAATTAAAAACATAGTCATAAACAAACGAGCAAGGCAAAAAGTAAACAAGGTACGAAATAAACAAGTATTCAACTTAACAAATAAAACATAAATACGGAATTAAATCGTAATAAATATACACAGAACTAAATAAATAAAGGCAGTATCCAAAAAATCGTTGTAATACATCAACAGAGTAACGAACAAACTAAGTTTAAAATGATATAACTTAACATTACATAGCATACTGTTTTAATAATCGCTGTCTTTTCCTATTTATTTTAGAAGTACGTAATATATAGGTCTACTCAAAAAGAATTCAACTATTTCGAAGTGGGGTACTCTAAATATAAGTGAAAAAATGTATTCGTGCGGGGAAGTGCACAATATACTGTGCATTAACTTAAAAAATTGCCACAGAAATATTTTTGACTTTCACCAACACTAAACGTCTGACAAAATTACAAAAATTAAAAAAATGTGTAAGGTCTGGGGACTGAACCGCGGACCTCGCCTAAGACGAGGCTACGCATAGACCACTGCGCTATGAAACTGAATTGGTTTTTACTAGTTCTGTGGTGCATAAAGACCCCCTGGTTTTAAAAACTACCAACGTCTCACTATTTGGTCCGTCCAAATAGTGCCAGAGATCCCCGTTTTACAGCCAATCATCGCACAGGATTCTCCAAAAAAGTCAATTTTTTAAAAAAATTATTTTTTTGCAGAAAATGCAGGAAAGTTAAAAGCGGAGTTTGAAATATTTCGTCCATTTTTGGATTTTTAAAAACATTCTCAGCCAATCAATTATTGTCCGACGGCGTTGAAACTAATATCATTCGAAAGCCCGTTTAAACGCGCAGAGCGTAACCAAGCCGGATTTTTAAAGTTAATTCTAAAATCCATTTTAAAAATGATTTAAATTTCATTTCCCTGCTTAAAATCGGGATTTTTGACTTTAAACGTGTGTAACAACATTTCAGCCAATCTAAGGGGGGTCATGTTATACATTTTTGAAATGCCACGATTTTTAGCTATTTTTGAGGAAATTTGTTAAATTTCATTCGGGGTGCTATGGGCAGGCAAAATTGGCTTTGGTAGGCGTAGGCTGAGAAATAATGTAGTGTACATAGTTTATGACTTTAAAACCCAAATAAGTCAATGACTTTTCATTTCTATGGATCGAAAATAGTACCGTTGAAACGAGCTCATTTTTCCACGTAGGATAGCCGTGCGTTTTTTTCATTCCAGATTTCATCGGGGGTTACTATGGGCAGGCAAAATTGGCTTTGGTAGGCGTAGGCTGAGAAATAATGTAGTGTACATAGTTTATGACTTTAAAACCCAAATAAGTCAATGACTTTTCATTTCTATGGATCGAAAATAGTACCGTTGAAACGAGCTCATTTTTCCACGTAGGATAGCCGTGCGTTTTTTTCATTCCAGATTTCATCGGGGGTTACTATGGGCAGGCAAAATTGGCTTTGGTAGGCGTAGGCTGAGAAATAATGTAGTGTACATAGTTTATGACTTTAAAACCCAAATAAGTCAATGACTTTTCATTTCTATGGATCGAAAATAGTACCGTTGAAACGAGCTCATTTTTCCACGTAGGATAGCCGTGCGTTTTTTTCATTCCAGATTTCATCGGGGGTTACTAACCCCTATCCCTAAAACTCGCTTCTTACTCTCTTGTCACTCTCTTACCAACTTACCCCTGTGTCCACGAAACCCTATCCCTAAATCTTGTCTCTTTCCCCTTCACTACCCATCCCTTGTCTATCTCTTACCCTTCCCTTACTCCTACCTTACACTCACTCTCACTCTCTTACACAACTATCCTTGTGTCCGCATAACCCTATCCCTAAATCTTCCCCAACTAATCCCACCTTGTATCTCTGTCTCTAACTTCACCTACAGAACCCTATCCCTGTCTCTTATCTTGTCTCTTGTCTTATCAACTACTCTACTGTGTTCACACATTGATCTCCCGTTGATCACTCCGATTTGTGCGCAACTACGCATGTTTCAGATAGCCCTCATACCACTCTCTCCATGGTAACACCCTCTTCTCATAGCAACACATCAACCCCAACCCCCAATTTTCGCCTTATACCCTAATTGCTCTTATCTTTACTCTTTTCTTACCTTCTCCTTTATTCCTTCTGACTCCCCTTGTCGTAGGCAACATGGTTGTCGTAGTCAACATGGTTGTCGTAGGCAACATGGTTGTCGTAGGCAACATGGTTGTCGTAGGCAACATGTTTGTCGTAGGCAATATCGTTGTCGTAGGCAACTTCGTTGTCGTAGGCAACATCGTTGTCGTAGGCAACATCGTTGTCGTAGGCAACAGGGTTATCGAGGGTAACAGTGTTGTCTATGTAATAATCATTGTCTATGTCTGGATGGTTGTCTAGGGGATGATCGTGGTCTTATTGAATAATCATAGTCATAGTGTCCAATATCGGTCGTAATGATTAATCATAGTCATGGTTAATAACCATAGTCATGGTTATTAATCCTAGTCATGGTTATTAATCATAGTCATGGTGTTCAATCATAGTCATGGTGATAACTGATCTTCATAGTGTTGTATTTGTCGTAATTGTCTAATTGTCGTAGTTATTCCTTTGTTGGCATAGAAATCTAATTGACATATTCATCCTGTTGTCATAGGTATTAAGTTGTCATAGTTTTCTGGTTGACATGGTTATGTATTCATCATAATTATCTCGTAGGCATAGTTATATGGTACTCATAGTCATCTGTATTTCCATGGTGATATGGTTACTCATAGTTATCAATTTGTGATATGTATCTATTTGTTATAGTTATCTATTTGTTATAGTTATCTATTTGTTATAGTTATCTATTTGTTATAGTTATTTCGTAGGAATAAGTATCTGGTAGTCATAGATCTTTCGTAGTTATAGTTTTCTGGTAGTCATAGTTTTTTTTGTTGTTGTTGTCATAGATATCGAGTTGTCATAGATCGCTTGTTGTCCTAGCTTACTTGTTGTCATAGATATGCTGTTTTCTTAGTTATATTGTTGTTATAGATATCTTGTTTTCCTACTGACCTGGTTGCTTTGTTACATGTTGTCATAGAAACCTTGGAATCCTTGTAATTTTGTTATCTTAGATATCTGGTTGTCTTAGTCGCATTCCTTTCGTCAATACTTGTTATCTTTAATGTCATGTTGTATTAACTATCTTGTTGCTCCACGGACTTGGTTGTCTTGCATACTTGGTTGTCTTGCATACTTGGTTGTCTTGCATACTTGGTTGTCTTAGTCACCTTGTTGTCTTAGATATGTCGGTGTCCTGATCATATTGTTGCCGTAGTCATATAGTTGTCTTTTTACTTGCTCACTTGGATACCCTATTGTCTTAGTTATCTTGTAACTTATATTTATTTTCCGCTCAACTTTGTCTTTGCGTTACCTAACTGGCTGTCTATATTTTCTCGTTGTCTTATAATTCTGGTTGTCGTGGATATTATGTTGTCTGAGCAATTTTGTTTCCTTAGTTACATTGTCGTTTTGGATGTTTTGTTACCTTGCAACATTGACTTCTTGAATATGTTGTTGTCATGTATGTCTTCCTGTCATAAATATGTAGTCGTCATAAATATGTAGTTGTCGTAGATATGTTGTTGTCTTATATACCATAGTGTCTAAGTCACTTAGTTGTCTTCATCACTTTGTCGTCTTACATATCTGGTTGCCTTAAGAACATTGTTGTCTTGGATAATTCGTTGCCTTACATATATGGTCGTTCTAGATATGATGTTGCCTTAGTTGCCTAGTACTGTAGTTTTAGTTACCTAGTAGTTTTAGATACGTTGTTCTCTTAGTGACGTCGTTGTCTTGGATATCATTTTTTCTTGGATGTATGGGTGTTTTGCATATATGGTTGTCTAGCTTAGTTGGTTACCTTTTTTATGTCGGTTTCTTAACTACCCTGTTGTCTTAGCTACGCGTTGGTTATTTATATTTGGTTGTCGTAGATATCTGGTTGTTTTCGTTACGTTTTTGTCTTAGTTACAATGTTGTCAAATTTACAGTGTCGCCTTAGTTATATTGTTGCCTTAGTTATTCGTTGTCCGGTATTTCTGGTTGTCGTGGATACTTTGCACTCTTGTATACTTTGCTTTCTTAGATATCTGATTGTCTTCAATGTCTGGTTAACATAGATACTTGGCTGCATTCGATACTTTGCCCTCTTATATTTCTTATTCTCGTGAATATCTCATTGTCATAGGCATCTACTTGTTTGACTTGTATTGTTGTCTTAGATATGTTGTTCCCATAGATACTTTTTTTCCTTAGGTATTCTATTGTCAGAGATATTTTATCCCCTTACATATCATGTTGTCTTAAACTTCATGTTATCCCAGATATCTCGTTCTGTTAGCTATCTTGTTATCATAGTTACATTGTTGTCCGAGTTATCTTGTTGTCTTCTTTACATTATTGCTGTAGTTACATGGTTGTCTTAGTTATATTGTTATCATAGTTACATTGTGGTCTTGGTTATATCGTTGTCTTAGTTATCTTGCAGTCTTGCTTTTCTTGCAGTATTGGTTTCTGTGTCGTTTAGGCAATTATGTTTTCTGGAATAATATCGTGACTTGTCAGCTTTATCGTCTTGGATACGTCTTTGTTTTCTTTCTTGAATCTCATGGATTATGTTAAACTGAATATTCTACAAGGTACTCCTTTTGTCGTATCCTTGTCAATTGTTATGCTAAATATCTTGTTTGCGTTATTTCATATTGTTCATAACTATGTATAACACGCAGTATCATAGTTCTTATTTGTTGCGACGTGTTTATTGTTTTTGAATTGATAATATTGTGACACATTATTCTTTTTTACCGACTTAGCTTATAAAAAGACTAGTCTTGCGTTTAATTTATATATTATAGACTATTCTGAGCATGTCTATACAGTTCCCAGAACTATATAAGTTCATTAAGACTTTCCATAAATGTTTCTTCATAAAGTTATATGTAAAACATGATTTACCTTTCCCGTTTCTATTGACTTGTTCTCAATCTTCGCCCGTGCCGTCTCAAACATAATGGGGACTAATAGAATGATGTGGATAAGCGATTAGCCAATGTCCCATCATTTAAAGCCGGTCAAAAAATATTTTTTGTTTTTACTTTTTTTCTTGTGTTTTATAAAGTGTTTCGGCCCATACTGTATCAATGGGGTTTTTTGTCATATTCCGCGTATTGGACATACTCTCTATCTTCATCAAAAGCCATTCGGACTATCCACCAATTTCGGTAGTGGTCATAACAAAGTTTAGCTCATTCGCGTCTTTTTAATCATTCCATATACCATATACACTTTGTGAATATGTATGGAATATTTTCTAAATTTTGCACGAAAATATGCTGGTAATTACAAAACGTTTTTCGGAATGTATCATTTAAGGTATACGTTTTATAAATACACTATTTCGTACTCAGTAAGCGTTCCATAAAGATTTCAGCACTACTTATTATAATTGCAAGCTCGTTGTACCTGGTGAAATAATTTTCTGGCGTACACTATAATTATGACGAGCAACATTTGTAGTAAAGGTTTTAGGAAGAAACGTATCGTGCAACAATTTCATTTTGTGACTCTTTCTTGGGTATTTCGTTTATTGCAGTTTAATCTTTACCATATTTTGTAGGAACTTGCTCTAGTATATATTAGAAATGTTAGAAATATCTTTATTTCCATGTTGGTATTTACTGTTTTGTATTTGACGCATGAATCTACGAGTTTACGATTTTTGCATGATTATCTTAATCATTTTTTGTGTTATACTTTATATAATTGTTGAAGTAGCTACGGTAGATTATTTCAAATGTAGTGATACTATCCCGAGGTCTTCATCATTTTTTTTTAGACTCCTAAGAAATATTTTTATAACTCTACCATAAATTTTCTTTTTCTGTATAGTTTCTTTCGGATAGATACCACATTGTCGTATTTCGTTCTGATAATTGTAGGAGAGATCCATAAGGTGGTACAAAAACCGTTTCAAATTTTGTAATCATTTAAAGTGTCCTATAAAATATACGTTGCTAATATTGCCATTTTTTACTTATTCTACGTCGTAATTTTTTCAATATGGTTTTAATTCATCATCTATTGATCCGTATGCAGTGTATATTATTTCTACTGCTCGTTTAAACTATTCCATTCAATCTTTACTTCTTGTCTCTGTGCGAAAACTCATGTCTTATCTACTTTGGGGCGTTCTTAATTAATCTTCTATTTCTTACTCAACGTTGGATTTATCTTTCTTATTTCTGGTAGAGACACTCGTTAGACACAGTCACAATAGTTCAAAAACCTACCCCAGTTATTGAAACTGTCGGAAAATAGTTTTCTTATTTATTTATTCACTGCTGTAGATGGGTAATCATTATCAAAGCTATATTATCAAACATTGTGATATGATTTTCGTATTGGGTTAAACGGTGCGCTGTATTTTTCAAAATGCCCCTAGCTGTATTCATGCTTTTAGATCTTTACAAATGTCCTTTCACACTCGTCCATCATTTTATTAAAAAATGTTAAGTAATAGTTTCACGAATCATTAATCACCTTTTTTTCAGGGTAATTTGATTTCGCAGCTCCCTTTATAGCTTGAGACAATGTAATTCTTAGTGACCCCGCAAAAAATCTTTACATATTACATACTTATTACCAGTAGTACATCTATGTACTGTCTGATTTTTTGGTCACTCTTTCTTTAGTTGTTTTTACCATTAATGATAACAATTCTAGGAATAATTAAACTATTGATATGTAGTTAAAACAATTCTTTGCCATTCGACAAATATTTTTTCATTTTTGTCTTACGTGTCCTTTTTTCCAATTTCTCTCCGCTTGAAACGAAATCGTGTTAGCGTCTTTTTAAAATTTAGGATTAATTTGGAGATGTTACTTAGTCTGTATATGTGCTTGCGGTCATTCAGTATGGTTTTTGAAAGTATTAATTCGTATTATAGTCATTTTTGAGATATTTTATAAAGTAATTTTTTCTCTACTTTATTTATTGATATTTTACTTAGCTCGTGTGTGATTTACATTTTTTTTTGTATGATTCGAAACCTATTCCAATTTTCAAACCGTTGGTTATGTTACTGTATGCTTTGAGTTTTGCCTCTCGAAGAAATGAATGAGTTACACGTACAAGTATTGCAATAATATTGCTGGCGCATTTCCTAGACTGTTAAATAATGCGCCAAAACAGAAGAGACGATGCACGACGCGTTTCACTTGCTGCTTCTTCACAGGTATTGAAATAAGAGTATACGAGTAGTATTGGCGGGATAAGGAGTATTAATATATAAAAATAATTGGAATTAGGAATTGTAAAAAACGGCCACAAAGTTACGAAT